TATGCGGTCGGATTTTTTCTTGATTAAATTTTTCGTCCTCGTCCTAATTTAAACCTGAGTTTTGCTTTTGATAATTGCACATTCAAAAATTGAGTGCACACTCGCTACTTGGCGTTTGAATGCTTGCTGTACAATCCAAACTCGAGCACGATTTCGAAATGCAAAGCAATATTGTTCTGAGGAGAACTATGCGTGCTTTAAGCTTCAGTACGTCGTCCCTGTAGTTATATATTACTACGAGGGAGAATTTCCAGGTGAACAAAACAAATGTAATTTAACACGGAATTTTACAAAGTGTATACTCCAGAGTTAACAATGTGGACGGTGTAATCGCTTGTGAATTTATTACTCGTAATTACCGAATTTCAGTTATTTGTGAGCTTTAATTGTTTAATTTTGGAGTGGTGAGAGAACCTGGCTTTGCAAAGGTTTTGTGGTTGTTGTGTTTGCACTAGACAGTATTCCGAGTATGTTTACAAATAACTTTAAAAAACTTATACCGCAGTACAATACGGTTCGTTTGAAAATCAACGGCAGACTACACAAATGAGGGCGTGCGATCAACTGTCGTGTTTGGCGAGTAACTTCCAATCGCCTTTTCTTCTTTAGTCATGGTACACTGTGTTGATACACTCAGCATAATATTGTCGTTTAATAATACGTCTTGTGTTGTGTGAAATGTATTCAATAACATTTCATGTACATACTTGTGATATTAATATCGAGAATATTTTCGTGCACTAAAAATGAAGTGATAACAAAGGTCACAGCGTTGCACTGGTCGATATCAAGTATGATGACCGCTATGTTTAAAACAAGCAATAAAACTCTCCAAAAATGCGGACTTTTACGGTTCTTCGTGTTGGAATAGGGCCAAATAAAATGTGTGGTGCACATCCTCAACTACACTCGAATTTATTTAGACAAAGTACGTAACTCGGTCGAGGCTGTTCGTCATACGTTCATTGCTTGGCACCGTTCGACGTTACATAAACCATCCCATATTCCTACAACCCATCACTCACTCTCCGAGCCGCCTCCGATCGGCTCTATTTTCATCGCGGCCATTCTTCAGAATTTCACAATCGCTGACTTCACCCTTCCAAGGTATTAAAGTAAAATTTGACGCAGACGCTTTTTCATAAATTTCCGCCCCATATAACCAAAAATAGACGCTTATAAGTCATTAATCAATGCTGCATTATTTAAGAAAAGCTCACAGGAGAACGAACACACCGCCATTCTCCAATCATCTAATCCAAAATTTACAAATCACCTCGCACCATTGACTTAATGATACTCGCATCTCTTCCGAAGATGTTGAATGTTTAATTTTCGTGCGCCATCTCCACCGATTACGTCGTTTATTTTTCACATATCACAAGTTGTTGGACTCGTAAAAATAAACCTTTTACACTAGTGATGAGTTCCATTGACCCGAACACTGCTCTAAACATCAATCACAAACGCGTGAGAGTCGATCTCTAAATCGGGACGTCCCCATATTCCATCGTAGCTAGCATAATGGAAAGCTTGGGAGTAGCGCATCCCTCCCGCTTTTCACGGCCTAATAGTTTTTGCGCGTTTTAAAAGCTCATTATCCATTAACGTTTGTATCCTGCTGTTCTCGATTCTACTAACAGGAAATTTCAATTAATTTTCTCGCAGCAGCATAAATCGTACACTCGCTATGTACCTATGTAGGTATGCATTGTACACGCGTCCTAGAATAACTAACGGCCTGTCAGTTTTAACTTTTAGAACCAAAATGCCGTAATATCTGATAAATAATTAAGTCGGGAAGTAAACGCTGTATCCAGTTCCTTTGGTGTGTTTGGGGGCAAGAAAACGCCGCGATCTAAACGTCCTAATAAAACTGTTGTAAGACGAGAGCCCCGCTTAGGCTTTACGCGTTTATTCTGAAAAACGATAGTGTGGTGGGATAGGCAACCCATTATTCACATACCACGCTACATGAAACATCCTTTAATAATAATTTTTGTACGTAAAATAAGAACGCACATCCTTAAAAAAATCTTTTTTCTATCATTAATACTCAAACTAAAATCGTCAGTCCTTATCTGTCACACTGCGTATGATATTTGCACAGCCAAAGCTAAAATATACGAATTCTATCCCGACATTTGCTGTTGCAGTCTGACATAATTAGGCATCAAAAGATACTACCCTTTGACTTCAACATTGACCGCCGAGTTCTTGATACCCCGAGATTTTTCGTACCAAAGTGTTAAAATCCCGTCAATAATTAGGCAAATCTGTCTCTTCAAAGGCGTCGCCATCCCTCCACCCTTACCCTCGACTCAACCCTCTCCCTCAATACGAGCTCATTTCCTCAATGAAGTGTGCGACGGACGTAAAGAGAATAATCGATACTAGTTACAAGTTCCACCGCTGCGAAGCAGCAGCTACACACCCGGAAAAGCGAAAACTGCACAATATCAAATGAAAACGTGCTTGTGCCAAGGAAAATGCCGATAGGTGGCCCTCGGCTCCACTCTACTTACTTTAAAATCTCTTATCTTATAACTAATTTTAACTTAGCCGAGACCCGATCTAGCGAAAAACTACTTCAAAAATGGTGGAGGTGCCGAAGTAATTCAGTAATTCGTCGAATTAATTTAAGAATTCTCACTTATCTTAATTTCATATTTTCAGATTCTGTTTAAATTTTCAAACTTTAATGAGTTTTCCAACTATTTTTGGAAACTTTACAAAATCGGATTTGCAATTAAAACGTAGCTTTGTTCGAGTCGAGACTTTGGTATTTTCAATTATCCTGTTGTTCTTCGGGTTGATGTTGCGAGGAAGTCAATTATTTGGCGATGACTAGCAAGGCGAAAACTTGGTATTTGACCGCGTATATATTTTTTTATTTCTTTGGAGAGAAAACGCTGGGTGAGTATTAGATTTACAGTTTTAGTTTACTTAAAATAAAAATGTAATCGCACGTTAGGCTAATCCTTCTAGTGACTGTATTTATTCAGTGGGCGATCAAAATGAACAAATGTATTTAATGATGATATTCATCCAACGATTATGTTTGCAACTTTAGCATGAATAGCGGGGTCACTTGAATTTTGCGGAATTAATTAGCGTGGTAATTTTGAACATCGAGCGGAACACTAATTATAATAAAGCAGTTTTGGACAATGTGGTGACCTTTCAAAGTTTTCCAGAGTTCATAATGCTAGACCTTTGTAGACTTCATTGTGAAAAATCCATTTTCAGTGGAATACTAGTATATTCAACACCGTCAACGAAGCAACAATTTTGTATTATTAATGTGATTATCATCATTAGTTATTAAAGGAGCAAGATAATTTAGTGAAGAGCGACTTAACTAATTACTAATAAAACAACTGCCAAATCATATTTACACTTACAACAACGCATCTCAGAATAATGACATAAAATCCATTAGTTAATTGGCTCGTGCGACACATTAATTATACAAATCGTAATTTGTTATTCTACAGTAATCGCAACTAACATAACATAATACATATAATGGCTGCAAAATTTCGTGAAGCCTGTCGAGTATCATGATACAATAATTAAAGTATATGAACCTTAAATGATTTTCATCCTCATATACACCAACACGCATATATACAGTTTTTGTTAGGAAAAACATACAAATAAAATACAATTGCAAGATGAAATTTAGCTTTTAATTACTCAATACAAAAACCGTCAAATAGATACACTAGTAGTCTTCCTCACCAGGATTTTATGCTTAACCACGGTCGTAGGCAATTACAATCTTCTCGGTTTCTCACATTTCGTATCGAATGGCTTACTTTGTATTACGTTTATTTGGGTTTTACTTCGAAGGTTCGAACCAATATAGTTACGTATGTTCATATTTTATGTTCACATTTGTGAATCGTTTAAAACTTCCAAAATTGGTCTAAATTATTAACACCTTTAAAACGATACTGAAATTGTCAAAATGTACATAAACACAGCTTATCTAAATGAATTTAAATTTAAGAAACTATTCACTTTATTATTACATGTGTTACCTTCTATTTTATTTAGGAGTGGCTAACACGTTAATGGATTTATCTTTATTTAAGCTGTCAGAAACAAATAAGGTTTCAGTCTTTGACTGTCTTCCTCATACAAGCTAATTTCATTACTTAAAGAATTGCTAGTGTCCGTCAATTATTGTTGTATCAACCAAATTTTGTGGCATTATGAGTGCGACAATAAAAAATTGTTAGTATTTATTTTACTTAAGTAACTGTAGAACTAAACCCTACATTCTAATATATCTAAAATAACTGATGATAAATAATAAAAAAATAATTCTCTAAATACAGACAGTCATGATTTTTTTTGTCAAATTTATACGTGAGAAAATGCAATGTATTTTGTGAATATAATTATAAAAAGATATAAGACAAAGAGTTATGTAACAAGCAATTAAATTATTGGATAAAAACGAAAAGAAGAAGCAAAAAATAGCAGCTATAGCACTGCACTTGTATTTATTTAACACCATCATCACACACAATACGTTCACCTATAAATTAAACACGATCGAAAGACAGCCATGGATTTTTGAACATTTGTCTTTGACAGAATTTTTATTTTGTCAGACTAGCGTCAATTTAAAAATTTTAATTAAAAATGCAACAATCAAAGTCAAATTTTAAAAAATCCATCGCTATCTTTGATCATATTTTTTATTGCGCTCTTTCCATTAATGTTGCATTTACATTTTTTTAATATCTGAACATGATATTACATACAATCATTCAATCGATAGGAGAAACCGTATCTGTTTTTAATGAATATCACCAATCTAATTTATCATTTAAAATCGCTCATCCACTTTGTCGAACCCAATTTAACTTTCTAATGCTCTTATTAATAAACCATCAAATAAAACATCGAATCTCCTCGAAGCAATTTTTAATGCAAATCGAAATTTGTCAAAATCTCCTTAATAGAGTTCTCAAACTGGAACTTACCACTGTCGTTACCGGAAGGGCTTCTTCCAGGCTTCCCGTCGGCGTTCCATTCTTCATCTACAAAACAAAAACCCACAATTAATAACACTCCCTAATTGAGTTTCTGACAAAATCAAAACGGCAACAACTCCCCTACAGTTATTAGATCGACGAGAGAGATAAAATAAATGTCGGCGAAGTTGCTTCCGATAACAAATTGTCCAAGAAGATTACAATCAAGTGGTCGAGCTAATAGAGCCAAAGCTCAAAGCTCGCGCTGTATTACGGACATAAAGCACACGTCATAAAGTTCGAATCACCTGAACACGTTTCGGAAGATGGAACGTCGTCGTCTTCAACGTTGTTTTTGCAGCAGCGACTGCACCTCGAGCACATTCTCGTCGATCAAAGCTCTCTCTGAAGCGATTCACGTAATTATTGGCTCGGTATATTATGTTAGGAACTAAAAGCCGTCTGTCACACTCAACTCAATTAAACACATCTGATGATGGCTCTAGAGCGAGAAAAAGTGACACATGCGTAACGCTATTAATTTGTCGGCGACGCCAGAGGCTGTCGGAAAAGCTACTTTCGGGGTGAAACGGGCAGAATAAACGCCCTGTATGTGACATAAATCTCGGAACGCTCAACACTTGAAAAATTACGACAAATTCGTGATTTCATAAATAGTCACGTTTCGAATGTCGTTACAGAAAATTTCTAGTTGACAATGTGAAAGTTTAACATCATCGATACATCGAGCTTAATCCAGCTTTTTACTTTCTCTAAATGAACCGGACAATTTATTACGGCGAATTGCCTCGAACACCGCAAGCGTTTCACGACAAATAAGAAAAATACATTTGAGATATGCAATATTTGGTGAAATCCTGGATCAGTTTTGGCATACGTACGATGTAATACTTATTATAATGTTACCGTATTACACAAAATTACACAAAATTATACGAGGCGTTAAAATAAATGATAAATTAATTGATTCAAATTTAGTTTTTCAGAACAGCCAGTAGACGTGAAATTAAAAATTACAGAAATATGGGTGGAGACGACTTTACAAGTGAAACTTACTCAACAATACCTTGAGACGACGTCACACATTTTTTGTTTAAACTTCATGACAATCTTAAAACACTTAAATCTGTGATTCATAAATTATTATCTGTTCAATAACTTTCCGATATATACCGACGCTATAAGAATTTAGTAGTTTCTTGCATCAACGAACACGCTACAAATACGAAAAAAAAATTCGGTCGCTATTATTCCACGACTACGTAGTCTACACTTTAAATGTAATTCCATTTTTAAAACTTATTTGAACCCTTCTAAATACATGCCCCTGGAGACTTATACAGTTCATACTTCTCAACCCTAAACCGAAAGAACGGTAGCCTAAAAGAGTCGATTCCTTTCCCGTACATTGCCCACATAAAATCACCACCACATAAAATTCACTAAATCTTCGGCAATTTACGTGAATAGTGGGTCTCGAACTGAAACTAGGTCGCCTACTTTATGGCCCTTCCAACTTCTCCAAGAAGCAATCAGTCGTTTCAATAAGATGACGAACGCAGGAAAATTTCAAACAATTTGTTTTATTGTTTACTTCGTATTCAGATCTTAGTCGTTCCGCTGGTGCTCATTTAAACGAAAAAGCTGTTGTTACTGATACGCTCAGCTCGGTTTCGCATTTGGTTGCTTTGATTACAAGAAATCACTCATCTGGATTTTTTCAGAATTTGTCTTGAATTTCCGTTTCGTCAACGTTTCCAACAGGAAATCAAATAAATGCACCATTACTGTGACGCTGTAATCGTTCCAACTAAATTGTGTTTGTGACCCACTACTGTCAGTCCGTTGACCTGGATATAACCGTTAAATAATATTTGATGAGGTTTCACCCTAAATATGCAGCGGGTACACCCCACATCGCGTGACTTAACCGACCACCGCCTAAAACACACCGCAAATGTTGTACAATCATTCACGTAACATTAATTGCTTATTCAACTCAAACTATCGAGACAAAAGCAAAGGAGGAATTTTCATAACAAGTTTACAAAAGTGTTCTCCAATGAGAACAGTAATCAATCTTTGGGCGCAGAAAATACTGAGAAATATTAAAAACAACGAATATTTTACGAAAGTTTAAATAGACATGAGAGGAAAAAAGTTTATAATTATAAAGAAACGGCTACCAATTTGCTTATAATTTGTCTAACTAGGTTCAAACTCGCAGAAAAAACCATATTTTCATGTTAACATTAGTGACACCTTTTACTACCGAATTTTTCCACATCTAAAGCAACGATAAAACCCTTTATAATTTAACAATTTTTTAAAATTATTGATAATTTGAAATTGTTTACGGTTTCGATATCTCTAAGTGGAGGTTAAAAATTAGTGTAAAAAGGTTAAAATCGAACTCCACATTTATGAATTTAGTACTTTATTAAAACAGAGGCATGTTTCGAGAAACTTGTCTTTCTCATTTTCAGCGTATTAAATCAAATGAAATTAGGTTTTAACAGAAAAACGTGTTTGGTTATGGAAAGTACAAGTTGTATTGTCCTTGTTTTAATAAAGCACTAAATTCATAAATGTGGAGTTCGACCTCAACCTTTTTACATTATTGATAACTTATTTCGCTTACATTGTAAAAATCTATACACATACATGTTATGTCCGAAGACTCCATTATTAACATTTTATTCGACTTGGTTCCCGATGCACCGCATTTCGTCTTAGATCAATGAACCTTCTTCGCTTATGTTATCAACCCTGCCGAAGTGACCTCTAACCCTGAGGCTAACGCACTCGTTATCACTGGCCTACTTCTAGATGCAACGCACATTCGTCTTAGAGCAATGAACTTTCTTTGTTTTGTACTCCTTATCAACCCTCGACCCTTGGTTGACCTGTAATTCTGATGCAAGCTCTTACATCAGCCCATGTGCAGCTTATCTTCGCCAAAGGAGGTCAAACCTCAGTATATAAGGGAGAAGAACGAGCAGAAGATTCATTCAAGTATTCGACATTCAAGTATTCGACATTCAAGTATTCGACACTCAAGTATTCAACATTCGAGTCGTGATCTGCAGTCAAAAGTCTCAAATCATACCGTAACGCCGTTCCCGTCTTATCATAAAATATTTTACTTTTATATTTTGTCCGGACTTAGAAAAGTCTAACGTTATTTTATTATATTCGAACTTAGAATAGTTTCAAGTCTTGTAATCATCATTTAATAAAATAGAATAAAAAAATTGTTAATTTTTATTCGTAACGACCATCAGGATCGTTAAAGTGGCGCAGTCGGTAGGATTTGCAAAAATTTTGCAAGTCGCGAAAAATTCGCAAACTCGAATTTAAGCGAGAAACGAACCTATTCGACGTAGTTCATCATCTGGAAGAAGCAGCGAGAAGATTCTTGAACACTATCCAGAAAGAAAGCGAAGAAAAGGCGAAATTGAAGAAAGAATTTTCGAAAATCCCGAAGAAAGAAGACTGGTATCTAGGGTTTTCATTTTCCGGATTCCAGGTTCAATGAAGAGCATCTATCTATTACTGTAAGTAGTATTTGTCTCTTATTTTTGGTTTTTTGCAACATATTTCGTATTTTTGCATTTATTCGATTTATTCAAAAATTCCTTGTTATTCTTCAATTTTTCTCAATTTAATGAAATAATTCTTGCCTTTCTTTATATTTTTCCTTTAAGTTAATTTAATTACAAAAAAAGAAAAATGGCAGATTTTACTCTAAAAGATTTAAAAGAATTAATACCAACTTATGACGGAGAACAAGCAACTTTGTACGACTTTATTGAAGCGGTAAATTTTGCATTTGAAAATGTACAAGACGAGCACAGAAACGCACTACTTTTTGTTGTAAAAAGTAAATTAACCAGTAGCGCGAGAAGATTTATTTCATCAAGGCAACTTAATAATTGGGAAGATATTAGACAACTATTAATAGGTCATTATGGTGACTGTAGAGATACCGAAGGGTTACTTTGTGATTTGACTTCTTGTTATCAAAACCCAAACGAACTTCCAAGAAATTTTGTGCAGCGTATTGAAGACCTTCTTACAAAAATTCGTAGCAGCGTCGCACTAAATAATGAATTAAATGATGCATCCCGAAAAGCATTAAATGCATCACACGAAAAGATAGCTTTAAAAACATTTTTAGCCGGTCTATCCGAACCTCTTGGTAGTATTTTACGTTCACAAAAACCTAACTGTCTCGAACAAGCCGAACAATTTCTAATTGAAGAAGAAAATATCTCTTACTTAAAAACTTTTAGATCACTAAAACCATCACTACAAAAATCGGTAAATAATAAAATAGTACCGAAAGAAAATTATCACTCTTCTTCTGCAACAACTATAAAAGCTTGCTCGTACTGTAAGAAACCAGGACATATGATCGGATCTTGTTATAAACGTATACGAAATGAATTAAACCAACCAGAAAAACGAAGTATGCAAAATAAAAATTTTAATGCAAATACTTTACAACAAAATAATTTCACTAACATAGAAAATTGTCGAGACTTGAATCAAAATAAAAAACGAGACTTTTATACAAATCAGCGAACAAATGAAAATAATCAGATTAATTATTTAAATCTTTCCAGTAATTCGATGTACAATAAATCTAAAGGTAAAAGTAAACCATCTAAAGTGCATCAAAGTCATAATGAAATTTTAAGTTGCAATATAATGAACAAAAATAGTTCAAAACTAATGTACATTGTAGATAACGATAACAAGACATATTTAGTCGATTCTGGTGCAGCATTATCAATAATGAGGTCAAGTTCTGTACCTAGTAACGTTTCAAGACTAAATGAAAATTTTAAAATTCAAGGAATTGCTCCAAAACCTATTCATATCACCAAAAGTTTTTATAAAAAATTCGATGAAACAAATACTGAGTTTAAAATGTACATCGCCAATTTAAAAATCGCATTTGACGCAATTTTAGGTTTAGATTTTCTCACCTCATACGATTGTGTCGTTGACTTTAAGAATAATGTTCTAAAAACTAATTT